CCCCACCTGCCACACTCCCAAATGCATTGAAAAAAGGGGGCAGGTGGCTAAGTGAAGGGCAGGAAGCCCTCCCTCTGGTGAGGGGAGAGAAGAGATGACAAGAGGAGCTCTGTTTCACTCCATGGACCCCAATGAAAGGCAGCGGCAGCCCAGCTACTTCCCTTCCCTTCCCTGCCCACTCCGGCGCTGGAAGCCAAGTGTCAGCCATATGCCCAGTCACCCATGCAGAGATCAGTTGGGCCATGAGGGCCAAGTGGGAGGCTGCAGGGAAGGCAAGCAAATAGGCTGGGCCATGGGCAGCAGGGCAAGAAGCGAAGGAAGGCTCACCAGGCAGAGATCAGCTGGGCCACATGGTTGAGGCAAGTGACGAATCAGAGAGCAGCAGCAGCTATGCCATGGGCATATTAGAGTTTGCAGCAGAAATTCAAATCATGGAAACACACAGATGACTGATTCAGCAGGATCATTAATTTCTTTATAAACACAATATAAGTAAATGTACAATACCAGTAGTTTCTTCCAACATGGAAAGGTTACAAGCAAACACAAACAGAAGCAGACATGTTACAGCTCCAGTTCAGAGCAGAGTTCTAGATTCAGTTTCAATTCTCAGCAAAGCACACAGAGCCAAACCACACCCCATCTGTCAGCTCTCATTGGCTGGTCTGTTGCTATGCTTACTCACTTGCTGACTTCGTTAACCATGTTTCTGCCAGTTAATGAATATACTCTGACAGGGCATGACTCTAGGGGAATGGCCAAGGCAGGTGAGGTGAGATAAGGAGTGACTGGGAGAGGTGGGTGGGGTGGGGAGGGGAGGGTAGGGTCAGCCAGTGGTGTGATTAGCTGGTTCTCCAAACTGTACAAAAAATTAACAACTGGTTTGTTTGAATAGGTCGAAACCGCCTGAATCCCACCTCTGCTGTAATTATAATATGAAAAAAGGAGCATGAAGCTATGGTTCATCTTTCCTTGTCTCCAGTATTATTCTCCAGGAAACCATTGACTAAGCTTCTTTCCAGCATTGATCCATGTCAAAACTATGCATTCTAGAGTTTACCATTAGCACTGACCTGAGCACAAAGCGAACTCTAAAATAAGCACAATTTTAATCTTTCAAAATGGAAAATAAAAAGAAATTATCATCAAGAATTTCACTTTTATATACAGTATTTCTAATGTATGACTCTAGGCATAGCTCATGAAGGGAATGTGTCAACACATAAATTTTCCACCTTCACATATATTTTTGAAACAATAAGCAAATTTAAAAATTATTTTCTGTATACACAACTATCTATAGCAATCCCATGAAACAAATTGCCAGTGCTTCCCTATCACAAATATTAGAAATGGTGGATTTCCGGCTGATGTCGCAATGAGACCAGAAACAGCGAACAGATGTCTCCATCCTGCGCTGGCTTCTCGCCTTTGGGGGCTCCGGATAGAGCCTAAAACCGCCTTGTAGGGGCGGCAAAGCTAAGGAGAGGCACCAGGTGAGGTTCCGGGGAAGAACACAACTCCCCTGTGGGAACTCTGAGCTTGCTCTCCATGTCACAGTGGAGAGAAGAGCGGGCCAAGATGGCCACTAAAAAGTTGAGACAGCTGAGAATCACCTAAGCGCAGTGCTGGAGCGGAGATCAGGAACGATGTTTGGAGAAAGGTGAGAAGAATCTACTTTATTCTTATTTACCCCAAAAAGACTATAACAGAGAAGATATATAAAGAATTGTATCAGCTGTGGTTTGGAAGATAGAAGAAGAATTGGAAATGCAAAGAGTTTAAAAGGAATTAATTTGAAAAAAACTAATTTGGAATTGACAATTGGACAGGATTTGGCATGAGAAGGCATTATTTTAAATGCTGGAAATAATTGTTCTAAAAGAGAAATAACATTTGATTTTTGAAAATTGGTGAAGATAACAATAATGTAAAAAAAAACGGAAAAAGGGTGATTGTGAAACTGGACTAAAAGCGCCACCTGTTGATGAAAGAAAAATCCTGCAAATCCCTGCAAACTAACAATTTAATCAAAAAAGAAATTAAAAAGGAATAAAAGGAAGATATTACAATAAGACTTCTGGAAGGTGAAACATATTAAAATTAAATAGTAAGGAATATTAGGGGACATTACCCCTGG